AAAAACAAAGTTTGCGCGGGACAAACACGGCCAGACAGTGGCGGGCCTAGTCAGTCGGCTTCCAGGTAAAAGCACAACAAAGACTCGATTGCGTTCCGTTTCACTCGCTCTGATTCCTTTTTATCCGCCCCGAACTGCTGCTTGTTCCAACCCGTTGCTACAAGTATCATCCCTGTTCACCGATCTTTGCACGACAAACCGATGTTCTTCTTAATTAACCCGCAGACTCTCGCTTTGGGACTCATTCTCTCTGCTGCCACGTTGAACCTCAAACCTTACTTTTTCGGATTTGTACTATTTTTTATAATATTTTGAAATTATCGCGCAGTTTATAAACTTGAAATTTTGAGACTTAGAAATCTTGCAACGTTGTAATTTTTTTATTTAAAAACGAAAGGGAAATGTATCTTAAAATTGTGATAATCAAATAGTTAATTAGGTTGATGTAGTCCTTTGAGACAATATTTGAAGCTAACAGTTTCGTAAATCTGTAGCGAAAGTGTTGCTAAACATTGGAAGTCTTTTGTATATTTGATTTAAGACTTCTTGGTTACAGTTTCTGTTGCTCCTCGAATATTGGTTGTTTCAGCTTGGTCTCCATTACTGTAAGAATTATCAACACTCCTGCTAATATTATCACAGTCAACATGATTCAAACAAGAGACACGTGTTCCCACTGTTAGCTCTATTGGAACTTGTACCCTCGACTAAAGTGAATTTATTTAGTCAACAAAATAGCCTCGAAAAATAACTGTTTACACGATTTTCATTTCTAAATTTCATTGTTATCGATACCTAACTTAATTTCTTGGTCCTTTCAAAATTAGAATTGGACCTTTCAAAATAATATAAAATAAAAATTGTTTAATTTTCATATTTCGAAACAAGATGTCGAATTTAATCGATCGTAAAAGTATATTTTTATCGCGTTTCACCATTTTCGCACGTTCCACCGAAATAGAAGTAGAAAGACAGAAATGCTCGGAGAAATCTCGAAAGGTGAAGGATTAAAACGCCGAAGGTGTGTTCGCGTGTGGACAAGAACGTACACGAGCGTACGGTAGAAGGATGTTAATTAATATTTATGAGCAACGTACGCGCATTTTCTGCGTACAACTTGTTCAATGAGTGCCAATTGTCAGCGGCGTTCACTTAAATTGCTCATCGAATATTCATGCGAAAGCGGCACAGGGAATGCAGTTTCTGACCGATACCTAAATACGAACGAAGAACGTCCGAATATTGAAATCGACCAATTAACGTCTCTCCATTAATTATTTTCTTCTAACCTCTTCCTGCTAAAGATACTCTTCTTCTAATTCCTTTTCTCACGTTCTTACATTAACACGTCGATTTTTATGTTTCATAAACATATTTTTTGTAAATGCTTTTTTATATGATTTTATTAAATGTAGCGATGTATTGATGCATTGATTGATTCTCGTGAATTCAAACAAAAGATACTTTTCTTGTGACTTCAAACGAAAGACATTTTTCTTGTGACTTCAAACTAGAAACATTTTTTTTTGTGAATTCAAATAAAGGACATTTTTTTTAGGAATTCAAACAAAGGATATTTTTCTTGTGACTTCAAACAAGAAACATTTTTTTTGTGAATTCAAACAAAGAACATTTTTCTTGTGACTTCAAACAAGAAACATTTTTTTTGTGAATTCAAACAAAGGACATTTTTCTTGTGACTTCAAACAAGGAACATTTTTCTTGTGACTTCAAACAAAGGACATTTTTCTTATGACTTCAAACAAAGGACATTTTTTTTGAGACTTCAAAGGAAGGACATTTTCTTATGACTTCAAAGGAAGAACATTTTTCTTGTGACTTTAAAGGAAGGACATTTTTCTTGTGACTTCAAAGGAAAGACATTTTCTTGCGACTCTAAATGAAGTTGAAATACAAAAATAATCTAATAAATGAATTGTAGGTAAGAGTGAGGTAATGCGAAGGCGATTCCAAGAAGGAAAGTTTTCATTCTCGAAGACAGAGGAGATTGTGAATTTGGACGGGCCAAGAAAGTTTCCGTACCACGTGTAGAGAAGGTAGAGGATGTATACTAATTGAAGGGCCGGTTAGAAGCAAGACAGTAGCGAGTCTCCTGATTAACACCTCCTCCGGACCACACACAGGCTCACTTTCAAGAATTTCCAGTCCTATTTTTATTTATGAACAGAATGTGCACGCGTGTAATCATGACACGCAGCCTTTTTCAACGGGATCATTGTTCTTTATTGAAAGGAACGAATGTCCTCGTTGTTGGAATTAGAAAATCAAGTTCTAAAATCTTGGTTGAAAATTTGAATTATTCATTTGTGAAGCTTAAAGGCTTCTCGCTTGGACAAATATTGGAGACATTTTTTAAGAGGTTTTAGGGTAATAGATGTTTGAATAGATCCTTCAAGTAGATTATAGACTGGTAGGAATTGGAATTAAACGCTGTTAGAATTGACCTTTTACAAAATTTCCAATTTTTGTTCAAACAAATTGCAATCTTAAATTGTTATAATTCTCAGATTAATTACAGTAATATTTTATATATCGAAAGATTAATATTTCTGAAGTCAGAGGTGAAAGAAGAAAAGTGCAAATGTGCGGACAGGAAGGAAGATAGGCAAAAGTGTAGAAAACGACCGGCGAAAACATCAACAGCAAGAAGATAGGAGAAAGAAAGAAAAAAAGGCAACTACTTTCGGAAGTTCATGAAAGTTCGTTTACACAACTCTTTCCCGTACTGTGATGCATTATGCTCTCGAGACGGACTGACCTGAAATCTTCGGCCTCTACTGCTCTTCACCAAGGAACAGCATCACGACTCGTCATTCCGGTAGAGCTTTCTACGGATTTGTCTGATATACTATGTGTCCCGGAAGTATTTCATTAAATACTCGGACAACGTCCAATCTTCTCTTATACTCCTTTCATATCATTTATTTTAGGGTGTTGTATTGTTGTGGTGTCGAGAAGTTACCAAATTATTAAGGGATACGAAGTTCAAACATTTTAAATTTAATAGATTAAAACTTACAGAGTTCTCTAGTTTAATTCTGAGATCCCCAAATCTCCTAGTCCTCAAGTTCCCGAATTCTCAAATGTGCTAGTCTTCAAATTTCTAAATTCTCAAATGTACCAGTTCTCAAATTCCCAAATTCTCAAATATCCCAGTCCTCAAGTCCCCAAATACTCAGACCCCAAATTCTCAAATCTCCCACACCTCAAATTCCCAAATTCTCAAACGTCCTAAACTTCAAAATCTCCAAGTTCTCAAATCCCCAAATTCTCAAATATCCCACTCCTCAAGTCCCCAAACACTCAGACCCCAAATTCTCAAATCTCCCACACCTCAAATTCCCAAATTCTCAAATATCCCACTCCTCAAACCCCCAAACACTCAGACCCCAAATTCCCAAATCTCCCACACCTCAAATTCCCAAATTCTCAAATCTCCCACTCCTCAAGTCCCCAAACACTCAGACCCCAAATTCTCAAATCTCCCACACCTCAAATTCCCAAATTCTCAAATATCCCACTCCTCAAGTCCCCAAACACTCAGTCCCCAAATTCCCAAATCTCCCACACCTCAAATTCCCAAAATCCCAAAATCCAAACCCGCAAAAAAGAAACCCTACCTTCCCATCGCTTTCAAATTACCTTCACTGTATAAATTTAATTCCGTAAAGAGGAATATTAAAGACATATCTAAGAAAAGTTTGCCTCCTTTCTACCTGGTGTGATATTCTACCCGGTATGCTGTCGAAGCGACCGCTCGGTCCGATGAAGTAAGTACTTGGTCCGCGCACGACTCCTGAGGGTACTCGAGGCTACGTCGAGAGAAAGACCTCTTCTACATGGGTGGTCCATTCTCCTTACGCATGCATTATATAAGTTCAGTAAAGTTCACGCTAAAGGATACACACGGAACGATGTCCAGCAGCAGCGAGGAATCCGATAATTATATCCTAAACCGTTCTCTCACGCTTTCCTCGCACCCACCCTACCCGAACACTTGGCTGCGCTTCTTTCGGTCGAACGGTCTAAACTATTTTTCCTTTCGACCACTCAACATACCTCTATCTTTACTGATAATCATCTGCTATCTCTTACATCAATAATTCAAATAGATTATTAGTACAATTTGCAAGAATTAGAAATTTATGATTTAGCAATTTAAAATCTTCGAGTTCTTGTAACATTTTGTGGGATATTATGCACAATGACATGACTTATTCGTGTAAAAGAATTGCTTTCTGAGTCCTCCTAGTGCAATACCATGTTACACCCCCTTTTTAACAGAGAGTCCAAAAGAATGCAGATAATAAAATATTAAAAGCAGTGAGAGTATGAAATAATTTCCAGCGTCAAGAATTTGTGTTAAGTTCTTGAACAAATTCCTGAGATAAGGATTATTTAGCAAAAGTGGCACAGAAAATTAGTCCAAGATCTCCGCACGATAGCCCATTTATGTGTGCTCCATCTTTTCTGGTGACTGTCAGTTGAGAAGGGATGGTAATCCTCACGTGACCACGCAAGCATCTGGAACGTAATTGGGACCGGAAGTAGCCTGATCGTAGGGAAGGACTGGTAGCAAGGTTTCACGGGATATAGGGTCCGTTCTTATCTGCAGAATACAGGCCACGATCCTCTGCCTTGGTGTTCCACATCTCATAGGTTATATGGGTTCAGCCGCTTATGATACCGCGTGATGAATCGTTGCCTTTTTGCCCCTCGGACTCTTTGCATCCCTTATGAAGGTCTATTCTTGAGACTTTGTATGTCAATACTCTCAATATTTAAATACTTGTCCATAAATTTTGTCAAATTCCCAAATTTGTAAGTTTACAATAACCTGCATATTTATAGATAAATAAATCCTCCCACTCTTTGACAGAATAAAAATATTTTAATTTCTTATGCATCTTATAAGTGTATACATTTTATATTTCGCAGTTTTTATAATGGCGAGAGTCGATTCGATATATCGAACGAGAGAGTCGAAGGGAGCGCGACTGTGCTTTGTTCATACGATCGTGCACAGTGAAGTTCAGAATTTTTTAAAAATTAAGGGATAACGTATAATGTCACTTGCGTCAAAACTTACATTCGCGTTATGTTGTGCAACTTCATTGGGTATAATTGGTTACGTGCATTATAAACAAGAATATGATAGGTAACTCGAATTCTCGTTTTCGTAGAAAGTTAGGTTATATGCGCGTCGCGAGGGAACATCGTCATCATGTAACATGGATCGGTTGAATAATATAAAGTTATATGTAACTGAGAACCATTTACAAATATACAGAAATTTAAAAAGAAGTAATATAGGTATATCTTTAAATGAAAGAAGAGAAGTAGATTTTAGTAGCAATAATTTGTTCGAATCGTTTAAAATTCAAGTATAGTCCGTGTTACATGGCGTCGTATTTCGCGGGATAATGTATATTTTTATAATTATTGCAGGAAGCAGCTGCATTTAGGTGTTGAGCGTGATATTGAACGACAAGAGCGTCGAAAAGCTGAAAAGTTATTTAATCAGCCGATAAACTTTACGGATAAGTTACCAACATCCGAAGAACAGGAACAGCTTCAAGCTTCATAATTTGTAAGAATTTACTTGATCCTAACAAAAATTCACTTGCATTTTATACTTAACATGTCCCCATTGTATTATACTTAAATGAATATTGGTATCTTCATTTGATTTTCTAGTTCTACAGCTAATTTTCAACTTCTGTAAGGTTTGGAGGTTAGGAAGTGCCTGTCCAATGAACATCATGACTACAGAAGAATCAACAGACCAACCAGGTACGTATTTAATTTAATTCAAATAATATTCTTTCTCCACTGCTTTATGTTTTTTATGTGCAGACTTGATTTGTGTGGAAGAGAGTTTAATGAGTCTAGAAAAGCTGGATCGAGCTTCACCAGACCTGTGGCCTGAACAAAGTAAGTAACCATTGTACAATTTTTGGTTCTACTAAAAATGTTAGAACATATATACAATGCACTGCAAAAGGAGCTGAACTTTTCTTATTGAAATTAGGAATATTGTTTCACATTTAAAGACTCATATTTGACCCTTCCTTTATTTCATTCAAAAAGTTTAGTTTCTTTTGCAACAGACCATGTATATTAGCCATTAATGAAGTTCCAGGTGTAAATGAGTTTGTTGCTCAAAACTCACCTCAAACGGAGCCATCTTCCTGGGCTGCTGGTCTCACACCGGATGACATCAATCAATTACATCGTAAGTTCCTATTTGTAAATTAAATTGTGAATGGTTGAAATGATTTTATTTCAAATTGAAATGATTTTATTTCAGAACTGGGAAACTTGTCAATGAATGGTTTAATATCTGAAGTAAAAAAACTACATGATATGGCCTACCAGTTAGGATTGGAAGAAGCCAAAGAAATGACACGTGGGAAATACTTAAACATTTTTAAACATAAATCATGAAATTCCGCATTTAAAAAATAATTTAACTCTCTTAAGATCCAGCATATATGTATATCTGTACATACATGAAGACTGATGGGATGTTGATGCCATTACAATTGAAGGCATACAATAAAGAAAATAATTATATATATATACATATATAATATTTATAATGTATATAAATAATTATATGTATATACATATATATACATGTATAATTATTTCTGCTTTGTACAAATGTAATTTTTATTGTAGATGTATAACAGATTTAGAAATATAGTAACATTTTGAAGTTTTAAATATGTAGCAACAAATAAAAAAGGTTACACCTTGAATGCTTTACCTCTCCTTTTAAATACAATTAACTATCGACAATGTGAGTGACGATTCTCGTTCGATTTAATCGCAACGTCCACGATATCACTGCCTCTAACAAAATCCACCGCCACGATATTGGCACTGAATTGCCAGATGGTACTGTACCAATTTGTGACATTCAAGTTGACCTTGTACGCCATGTTTCGAAGACCACCGAGTGAATTGAAAAGAACATCATTGAAACTTGCTGTCAATTCCGCCATCGCTGCTCGTGGTCTCTGTCTAGTCCTCCTGTCGTTGCTTTCAATTTTGTTTAAGTACTTGTACAAATTTTCGACATTTCTGACGTTACCCCATTGGTGTGTCACACATGGCCACACAGTACCATGGCTGTGCACCATCCAAGAGTTTTCATAGCCAATTATCAATCTTTTCCCGGTGGACCAGATCTCATTTAACGTCATGATCCATCCACGGTTGTATTCAAGGTAATAGTCCCGGAATTCATTTTCTAAATACTTCACCAGTTCGGTGTGTTCCGATAAAGAATGGAAGCCTGTCATAAAGTTGAGATTGTATTATTACGGGATAATTATTGTACTATTACGGGATAATTGCAGGAAATTTTAAGGAAGTACCGATGGGAAATTCACGAATGTCAAGGATCACTATCTCTTCGGTGTGGTCGAGGAACGTTTTCACCTGATCGATCACGGTTTTTAGAGAGACTGAACGGTAAAACGGTCCGTGGTTGGTCCACCAAATTTCTTTTGTCTCCGGATAACGTCCTACTCTGATATCCAAGTATCGAACGCCATGTATCAGTTGACCCAGGATATTTGTGTCCTAAGAAATCAGTACTATAAATACTATAAATAAAATTGAGTACACGTGCTCAAATAACTGGTGAAGTTCACGATCATGTCCTTGACAGTGTCTGTCAAGGTGAATATCAGAGGAAATGGTACAAGTATATTTACTAAATAAAATTTAATAGAACCAGCTCACTTTTGTGTAGTACCTGTGTTATGGCAAAATTCGAGACTATGTTTATCTTTCGACTTCCTTCATCGTAAGACGCGGAATCATGTGTCCCCGGCAAAAAGATTTGACTCATTGTTAAGTTCCCCAAAATGTCTTCTCTTTCTTTCATCCAGGTGGGTTGTGATTTTAGACAGTTTGTCATTTTGATATTTGTCTGTGTTAACCAGGCTACGCCATATTCTAAAGAAAACACATTATAGCAGTTGAACTTCTTAATAGAAAAAGATACCATCCGTAGTTTTGTAATTAAATGCTGTTTGACAAAAATATTTGATTACCTACTTGTGCATTCCTGTACGAAAGAAAGATTCGAACTGGGTACAAACTCCGCGAATTTCCCAGTTTTCTGTCGTCCATTTGGACCTTCTGGTATTACAGTGTAAACCACAGTCGAATAGCCAAGAGGATGTTCCTCGTAAAGCGAAATTTTATCGCCGGATTGAATGTTCAGGTTGTTCCAATAAATCTCTATCTCGTGGCTTCTCGACCGCGAGATTTTGGGTGAAAGAAGTATACCGATATTGGATTGCCCTACATATAAATACCGAGTCATTAGCTAGCAAGTTAATCTTCAAAGATGAAACTTTTTTCGAATAAAAGATTGCTTGCAGATTTGAAAGTCATTTGCAATTTTGATAAACTTACAGTTCTCCTTAGATGGGTTGCAGACTTTAGAAGGTAAAATCCCGCTAATTATCGTCGTCAGAAGAAATATGGTTAATGCGTATTGAATCATTGCTCCTTAAATTATAGCAGAACTAAGTCCTGCTTAGCTTATTTAGTTCGATAAAATTTTTTCCTGCAATAGTTAATCAAATAACGTTCTCGTAAAGTATCAGAAATTGCAGCAAGAAAGAATAATTAGTTCTACATAAAAATGAATTACGATTAAAAAAAGAAGAGTAAAAAATAATCTTACAAATGAGTCGTTACAGGAACAGTCTCGTAATTCTTGAATAATTGAGTTTAGATTAGCTGGTCTTTAGTCACACGCGGAACAAGTGACAGTAAAGAGATCACGAGAGGAGAAAAAAGAGAGGAGATGATAAATAGAAACGTAGTGCAACGATTTGACCCTACTACACGATGCACAACACCGTGAAACGCGATTTCGCAACGAGTCCTTCTTTACTCCGCAATGAACGCTTTGATTATGTTCGCAGATACCAAAGTTCGATTTCCCCGTGACAAAATTATTCTCTGATCAGCAAAATTATTGATCTGCCTTTCAATGTCTCAAACTTATCGTTTCGATTAAAATTTAAACGTGAACAAATTCAATAAACTATGCGATTACGTTATTTATAAAATTAACTCAGCAAGTCAAACACCCGGGGAACAAAAAACACGACTAAAATATTCCTGCTATTTCGCGGAACACATAATCGTGTAAACGTTAATCATTTCTTTCAAAACGTTATACTTCTCCTATCGTTTTCTATCGGGTGTTTACGTCACAGTAATTACTACGGAAGCAGTTCAAAACGATGCTAAACCAGTAGTTAGGAGCATTATTTCAGGTTCGAATGTGGGAGATAATTTGCAAGGGGCATACGTGTTTCTATATTTTGGTATTTTATTTCAAGTACACTTTTTCAAGGATTTCATTTATTTGATTTATTTCTCTTTACAGATCTCTTGCATGTGGTTACGCTTGTACTATAATTAAATATAGCTTACACTTTATTATAATTAAGTATATTATTATAATTAGTATTTCTTTATTATAATTTATTATAATTAGTATTTCTTTATTATAATTTATTATAATTAGTATTATAATTAAGATTGAGTATATGTAATTAAAATTGAGGTGCATAATCCGTGCAGTACAAATAAAGAATATCATAATGTTTTACATATATTAATTTCAGAAGTCAAAAATCGTAGCAAATTTGATTTTTATTCGATTTTTAACTTTATGCTCGTAGAAGTTTTGAAAATGGTACCACTAGCGCCATCTAGCGGTGAAAGGTGCAATTAGGGAAATATAAAATAGCGATTTTACGCAAAATAAGGTATTTTTAAGAGTAGGTAATGGTTCAGAATTGGTCTAGGATCACGTTAAAGTTCAAAAAATGGTTTTACAGTGGGTTTGGAGCTTTATTTACGAAAATAGAAAATAGAGCGATTTATGGGGAATACTAGTGGCGCCCCCTGTCCGTCGAACAGGGTGAACTACAGCCATCTGGAGCACCTCCTTCATTAGTTCCACTTTCCGCCACGAGGGGGCGCTGTCTGCCCCTCTGGTGGCGAAAATTGGAACTAACGAAGGAGGTGCTCCAGATGGCTGTAGTTCACCCTGTTCGCCGGAGAGATGGCGCCACCAGTACTATTTTCATACCAGATCAATTAAAATCCCTTTTTTTGACTCAAATAAGCAATAATATGCCTCAAATTGCAGTTTAAAATAATCTTTAAACATTTTTCTACCCCTAACAATACAGTAATACCAATAAATACAAAAATTGTTTCCGTTTTTTAGTTTTATAAGTTGCCGCTCCCTACTGTAAGATGGCAGACGGTTTTGCGGACCATGGTAATTAGCGTTTTTATTTTTTACTTTCTACTTTTTGAATTAGGTACTTTCTTACCATATATGTTCTTTTATTTCGAATTCAGGGAGACTGCATTCTTTGAACTGGTTTTTTATCTACACTTGTTAATGGATTATTAAGTTTTCTACTTTATCTTCCTAAAACTGTACAGCATTGTTGGTAATGCAAAATAATGAAGAGACTATTTTTGGAGGGAAAGATTTATTATCGAAATACATAGTATTTATAATGTTGCATGTGCTACATTATTTACAGGTAAATGTTTGTTTACAGGAAATGAATTGAAGGAATATTTATTAGAAGACTTTTCCACAATAATAAGAGAATTATTTTTTGTGCGATTTGGTCGGTCAGTAGCCTGCGAGATATAACACTCCTCACCATTTTGGTATTTTGTTGATGGGAAGTGCCAACAGATTGTGCAATCTTACAATTAGTGGAACGCGGTGCATTCGTTGCGACGGAATAATCGCGAAGATACGTCGCAAAGAATCGCACGTAGCCGCGATGCGAAATGCATTCGAATGTCAACAGAGAACGCCTTGAGAGTGTCATCAATGCAAATCGACGATGACGGCTACGGAAATAAATCCGCAACAACGATGTACATGATCGCAGCGTATAAATACTTGACACTAGCATGCAATTTAGTAAGTCATTCTTTCTAGGGTCCTGTATAAAAAAGGGTATCCCGCTAGACATACATGTTTTTCCACTTTTGTTAGAATGAACGGAATTTCAAGGGTTTGCACACCGTTTATTTGGCAACGCTGCACGCTGCATATTTCACTGTCAGCCTGTTTACAATAAAATTAACTCTCGCTCGTAAGGAATAAACAGAATGAACCAGAGGAAGGGTTCACCGGACGTATCTTTATGAGAATACAATTTTTCACAATGCCAGAGGTATTTGTTAATTTTTCAAATTGAGTGCAAAGTTCTGAATGATTTGCAGGTATCTCCCTAGAGGATTTCTAAGTATAACCTTCCACCATTTGTTTCTTAGCTCAACTTAGAACCCCCTTCAAAGAACATGAATCAAGAGAATTACCGACATCCATTCCAGGCTAGATCATAGCGAGTATATTTTCTAGGTTATGTAATGAATTTTAACCGACTTCTTCATTACTCAGAAATTGAAAGAACACGTTTATACTTGCAGAGTAGAGTGCGGCCATACATCACGGACGTATTTATACACGCGGAAACCCGTGCGAAACTCTGTTCTTCAACAACGACGCGGCGTCGCGCGTGCGGCACTAATTAATGATTTAAGCAACACTAAGCGGCCGAGTTTCGTAGCGTACGACTCTCACGCGTCTGCGTTTACGCTTCTCGAAGCCAGCGGCGAAGGTACGCGCCACGTATAATTACAATCATCTCGTGAGAATCATTTATGCAATTAGCGGTCTCGCCTTTCAGGAAGCGTTCGAAGAAAACATGCCCGCGGTATACCGATCCTCTCGTTTTCTGCAAACCATCGGTAAGCGAGACTCTTTGGGAACCTTGGCTCTCTTCCCAAACTTCGTCAGGTTCACGAGTACCTCCGAGAACAATGTTGTTTCTGTCCCACGCCAATGTAACAGAATACGGAGTGTAAGCTATACGTGTTTGTTTAATGAGCAAGGATGGAACCCGCGTAACATGATTACATTAGTCCATCGCTTATTGGGACAATATTATCTTTACTTCGTGAAAGGAATCGGGCTTATTTTTATTTTCTTCGACCTTTATTAGATTAAGTATAACTATGATTTACTAGTTCACTAGTTTTGCTAAGTCTCGTCTAATTTCAGGCATCATCATATGGCTTTTGGAAATTCTAGCATGTGGACTTTTGAAGACTTATATTTACATTTACATTAATATTTTACATCATACGTTTGTCATATCCGACTTCACTTTAAAGGGTTCAGACCCTGCTAAGGTAACTTTGCTGCTATACTATTGTATCCTAGTTATTATTATAATAGTGTCTTGAACGTAGGGGAAGTCGTCACGACAGCGACGAAGAAAGCCTTGAAGCGATAAGGGTTGGCGACTCGGTGACGACAAGAAGAAAAATTCGTGAGGGTGGCCCTCGAGGGGATGTCCGCAGGATTTCGCCCAGCTGGCAAAGCGAGGCCAAGCCGACACTGGTATTGATTACGAAGGAAGACCGCACCCTCTGCCACCCTTTTGCTCGGGCCTCGACGTAACGGGGTTGGCCAACGGCAAACGCTGCGATACACTGCATCGAGAGAGAAATCCTGCGCAGTCGTCGCTGAATCTCTGCGACTGCCCCTCTATTCAGACTCCAGACGATCAATTCTCGCACCCTCATGCCAAGGAAATTCACTTCTTTTGTCTGCATTTTAAGATACCTTTCTTTTCATACTTTGCTGAAGACATTCTATGCCCATAAATTAACGTTGCAGTAAAAAATACTTCGTCTTAAAGAAAGCTATTGTAGAAGAAATATGAGTACAAAATGTTAGCAACAATTCTTGAAGGTTGAAGCGGTACGAAGTATATGCAAATATGATTTGTGTAGCAGCATAAATATGAGAAGAGATGATGTTTCATTGCAGCTTTCAAAATGGAGTAAAAGCCATTCCGCATTGCCAAATTTAGGGATGAACCAACCCCTCGGAGGGATGCTGCTCCAATCAGAGCCACGTTCCCCTATGGGGCATCTCGCGAATCAGATCTGCGCAGCATCCCTTCGGACCAACCCCTGCAAGAAAAATGGCGGACACCTATGCCTTCGAATTAATTCGTACATCGATGCACATCGACAGGAACTAATTTGTCGGAAAGGGGAAAGGCCAATTACTGGAATATCGAGACCTTCGAGACACGGTGGTTGGCGATATTCGTGGTTGATGATCTCGAATATATTATCGAGGATGAAGAGAGAGTCCCTCTCTGTTTATAAGCATCGTTGATTTCAGATACGAGGCTGCAGCGTTCCAGAAGCCTCGAGCCTCTTTCGCGGTGGCTGGTTTGGACTCGCCCAACCGGTAGTGTGGTCGAGGAACCAGTGAACGTCCTCCTTTTTGCCCCTTTTTTCGACCCGTTTTCATTGACATGAGATATGAACGGTTCTAAGAAATTAATATCGCCGATACGCGATGCACGATCGCTTTAGCCATCGAGAGCAACTGGAATTCGCCGATTAATTTCGACGATTGTAGCTGATTGCTATTAAGTGAATTTGGTGGATGCACTTTTGTATTACTGCAGTAGACACTTTGCAAAATTTAGAGAAGCTTAGACTTGTGGATATCTCAAGAATACACCTTAACTGGAACTTAACCTAACCTGACTTTGAGGAACTTAATGCAGTACCTTAGAACTGGAACTTAACCTAACATAACTTTGGAGAACTTAATGCAGTACCT